TATGATATGTATTTTTATTTCGCGATTATATGTTAGGTACAGTAGGTTTTTATATATTCGCGAAGATTTAAATGCTTATATTTCACGATCTAATTGACCAATTTTAGCGATTTTAATACCATAATAATCGTAATAATGGCCTCTAAAACTTTGGTTAGAGGCTAAAACAACTTTCGCTTAATAAAATATTTAGCTATTATAACTTAAACTTAAATTTTTTGTAAAATGGTAGGTGCGATTCATGTAATCCTGCATTCTGATTGGATAATATAAATTTAAAATCACATGAAATTTTTTGACGTCTGCATTCTGATTGGTATATTTGAGGTTTAAAATAGTTCAGTAGTTAAAAAGTCACGAATACGGTTGTTCTATTGGGAATTCTGCAAAATGCAGAAAACCGCAGAAAGTGAAGAATTCACCTATTTTCGGATTTTATCGCAAAATTGTGAATTTGAACCTAAAATTTATTAAGACCCAATCAAATTGCATGTTTTTAAGTTGAATTTGCCGGAGGATAACCACAAAATACGAGTATGGTCATCGGAAAGTTTCAGAAAATTAAAGCAGTAGCTAAAAAAATTTTGTGCAGAAAAAGAAATTTTATTTTTGCAGAAATTAAATCATCGTCCGTACCCTGGTTAACAAGTTCGAGATCAGCTGATTTATTTACTTTACTAGGTTAATCGTTATCGTTTACAGCATTATTTAATTAAATTATATGAACATTCACTCTGTGTGAAAGAAAATTTTAAATAGTTTCCGAGTTAATCAACACGTTGCTTGGCAATCAAGATATTAATAGTCAATTATCAATATAAAAATTCGATCGCGGAAATTCGTTAGGGTATAAAAAATTAATAATAATCGGCTGATAAATATTTTTAATTATGTGAAATTTTGTTTTTATATCGATATATAATATATATTTTTTCTAAATAAACTTTTTTTATGCTTAAAAAATTAAAGTGAAGGTAAGGTCACTTTATTCATATTGTAAAGCTCTTAAGATAATTTTTATATAGAGCTTAACAATATTAAAATACACTTTTAAGTTTTAATATACATAATTATCATCTCCATTCAGCCTTTTTTACATTTAAAGATGATAATGTATATCATATTACTTCTTTCCTTTCTTATTTCTCTTTTATGCTTAACTGCTATTTCATACACACTTTTTTTACGAGAAACTGTCGAATGCAATAGCCTAAAGAAAAAAACCATTTTACTGCTTTTCACCCATCATGATGATTTCATGTTTTTTTGTCCAGCTGTTCTAAACTTAAAACCAGAAAATGACATAATGGTTTTATGTTTATCATGTGGTGAGCTTTTTTATTTAGATATTTGCCAATTTTTTATCGTAATTTTTTTTTAATACTGTGTGAATATTGTAATTATGTCCGTTTAGGCGAAATTCAAAAAAACATACTCGAAAAAAGTTGTTCGCAACTTGGAATTGAGAGTACTCATGTTAATATAGAAAATGACCTGTAAGTAGATAACAGTTTGAATCACTTTATCAATTCTTTTACGATCTCTCAATAAAATTAAAATTAAAAAATCTTTTTAGATCACTTCAATATTATTTCTTAAACAGTTTTGATTTTGATTCTGTATCAAAAATTATCAAAGATTATGTTTTCAAAAACGGTGTCGACGTTGTGAGTTGATTTGGTTTCAAAAAATCTCTTCAATGATTTTATAATTTCTAATCTTTCGCTTTTATACTTGTATTAAGATTATAACATTTGATCATGGAAATTTATTGGGGTATTCAAATAATACTTTATTTAACAGTGTCAGGTAATAACTTTCCTTAAATATTTTTAATATTTAAACCACTCTCTCTAAACAATAATATCCTTTTTCTACATAGACATTTCATCGAATCTTATCCGGATTCGAACGTTATATTATACAAATTTTTAACTGTTAACATTATTCGTCAATACATTGCTTTGCTGGACCTACCTTTTTCCTACTTCACTTATTACAAATATGGACGACAACTAGTGCGTTCTAAGAATAAATCATCAACTCCAAACTTTTTATTATTCGTATCTACACAAGATCAATATATTCAAGCTTGTCAGGCAATGGAATGTTATAAAAGAAATTTTTCTTTGTTTCGTTATATTCATTTTTCGAAATATATGTATATTAATGAATTAAAAAAGGCTGATTAAATTTTAATACTATTATAAACCGGTCATAATCAATGACCGATATATAATAATAGTAATAATAACCGATATTAATCGGTTAAAGATTTTTCCAAAATTTTATATGACTAATTATGGTAATCTCATTAAGCATTGAAATTTAAATATAATAAAAATAAGATTTTTTTCATATTATTCCATTATCCGATATTTAACATTTTTATAAATTTATCCACGTTGAAATGGGAAGACTGGAACTCTTCCGGCGCGATGGTTACATAAATGGTTGGAGGCAATAATAATGAAATAAGTTAATCTCTAAATTGGAAAGCTTCGATTAGGGTTAGTCTTGTTAGAAGTCATGGGCTTCGTTAGATGTTTGAAATAAGTATTTGATTCTATATATTCTCTATGCTTGGTTCTTACTATATGCTTTTAATAATATTTTGGTTAATACTCGATTTCGGCTGGGTTCATTTTCCCATCGGTCTTTTCTTAGTCACGTGGCTCATCATAAAATTACAATAAGGGTCTAAATTTGAAAATAATTACAATAGAGGCCCAAAATGAAAATTATTACATAGAAGCCCAAAAACTAAAAAAATTATTACAATTTAAGGCCTATCTGATCTCCGAGCATGGTTGAGCATGGTTAAGCCATACGCGAAGATTAAGTAACATATATCACTGGAATCTGAATCGAACAAATTCATGTTCAGTGAGTCAAATTTAGGCTGACTTGACCCAATTTCGGGTTCAATTGAACCTAGGGTTACCTAAAATGATCTAATCACGTGGTCATTTTAATATAAGTTTTATACAAGTCATTCTCGTTATAGTGAAGACGTTTGTGCAGAGCATTTTCTTTAGGGATGTTATTCTGCTTTAATTGGTTAGTTCGTGCTTTGTAACCTAAACTAATACTGTTCAAAAACAGAAACAAACATTGAGTTTTAAACTTTGTTTTAAACTTGTTTGTATATATGTACTATAAATTATGCTTTCTGAACATATTAGTTTGAACTCGTGTTTATTATAAAAATAAATTAATTTATGTAGCTATATACATTAATATTGTATTTATTATATGTATTATTATTTATTTATTTATTTAATATTTGTTTCAAACTATGTTTTTAAACAAATAACTTACAAACATATTTTTTTTAAATAGCTAATTATGTAGTAGATTAGTTGTATTTTTGGCTTGCAAAAATATTTACTCACTAGATACACTTGTAGCCTAAATAACAAATAGTTTTATTTGTAATTTTTAAAATAAAACTTTAAATATTAATTTTAGAATATTGCTAATTTGATAAAAGTATATATTAGCTTAATTAAGATATAGCATAGCATAGTTGAGATTATTTGTAAGCTTTTCTTAAATAGGACTAAATAAAGTACTTTAAGATAGAACCCTTCTTATTAAAACAATTTAAAGCACAAGTTAGTCTGAATAGTCTTCAAATAAAATAGTACAAGATTAGTATAGATTAAATATTAAATTAAAATTAGATTGTATAGAGATACTAAAAGGTTTAAATAGAGTATCTATAGGCAAATACTAGGTATAGCAATTAGTAAATAATCTAAATAGCAAAGTTTTTAAATAAATAATGACTAAAGTTATATATATATAGGCCATATTATTACTTCTGATATATTATATTTTTTAAAATAAATTAAAAAGTTTATTAATAATATTAAATCTAATAATTGTTATTTTAAACTAT